TGGTTTTACCTATATTTTACCTTTATTCATACTGCTTATCTATAAAGAATCAAAGTAACATCATTATTATTACTATTATTATTATCATTATTATTTTCATTGTTGTTGTTGTTATTGTTATTATTATCATTATTAACTTGCATACACTATTGTTATCTCAAGCTTTTTTTTTAATCTATGTTGACAATGCATCAGCTCTTGCATATCAATTGACCTGAGTATCAATTAGCAGTTCCAACCTCGTACCATAATATGTATTACCTGTTCTGACCACGTATCATTATCACCATTATTACTTTAATATTTATCAAAAACTATATTATTATTGTCCACCTATTCTCTGTTACTTATCCTTCATCTGTCAACTCTCTCTCTCTCACTCTCTCTCTCTCTCTCTCTCTCTCTCTCTCTCTCTCTCTCTCTCTCTCACACACACACACACACACACACACACACACATCTTTAACGTAGAAAAGCAGGGATAAGTTGAGGAATAGAAAGAAAGAAAGAAAGAAAGAAAGAAAGAAAGACTGAGGGCAGAAAATGAAACGAAAAATAGAGAAAGAGAAACAGAGGGAGGGGGGATAAACTGGGAGAGAGAAAGATGAAATGACAAGGAGAAAAAATTGTGGAGAGGATGAAAGACAGAGATGGCAGCAGAATAAGAAAGAAGAAAAACAAGAAGAGTTGGAAGAAGAAGAAGAAGAAGAAGAAGAAGAAGAAGAAAATGAGAGGAAATATATACAAGAAGCAGGGAGGATATAGATGGTTGAAAAACAAAGATACTCAGTTTTCAAGACTCATCCTACCTACCTGGGAGTACAGTATATGCGGCAATGAACAGGTGATTCTGAGTCACATTACAAATCAACAATCAGCTGTGTTGTATCGACCAAGTATCAGCTGTTCTATTGACGTATCTCAGCTGCTCAATCCACCTTCTAATCAGCGTATCTAAACTGTTCTCACCACCTGTTCTAGCTAAGCATCAGCTGCACTAACTACGTCTTCAGCTGTTGTTTCTACCTATATAAGTTGTTTACGTCTCGGCTTTGTTGACATTCTATCAGCTGTTTCTGGGTACTATCCTTCATCTCTAGTAAGAAGTAAGTTAATAGTGGGTTAGTGTAACTGTGAGCCAGGAAGACCGTGTGTGTGTGCGTGAGGAGGCCAGCAGTCAGACCATCTGTTGCAGCGGTCCTGTTACACTGTTATGCGTTCTCCCGTTCCTCACTCACTCGCTCTCTCCCTCTCTCACTCGCTCCCTCCTCACCCCCCCCCCCTCATTCTATCCCACCAATCACTTGCTCCTTCGCTCCCTCTTTTACTTACTCGCTTCCTCTCTCAGTCATTCGCCCTCTCCCTAGTTCACTCTCTCTCTCCCTCTCTTCCTACTTACTCCCTCCCTCACTTGTTCTTTCCCTTCCCCCTTCACTCCCATTCTCCTTCTCTTCCCCCCCCTCTCTGACTTACTCGTTCCCTGCCTCACTCACTCACTCCCTCTCACATTCCTTCCTTCAATCCTTCTCTCCCTTCCTCCTTCACCCCCCCCTCTCCTTCCCTCCATAAACCAATCCTTAATCATAAACATCTAATACATATCTGCATGAAAAAACAAACAGTTATATAAATTCTGACAATAAACAAATTCCGAGTAAGATTTTTGTTACTACATTTTAACAAGACACAATAGAATAGTTTCTTTATATAAATTCTGGAGTTAATCTTACGGACGATTAGCATTACTTCACTTACTATTTATACTAGTTCAATATAAAACAAGATACTACTGATAATTTGAAAGATAATGAAAGGTGTGATAAGCATGAAGAAAGGAATTGACAGACATTAGACAAACACTGAACGAAATTAAAACAATTAAAACAATTAAAAAAAATACAAATATCAACACGCAAGAACAGAAAGAATATTGGACAAACTCTTCATACATGGTTGAGAAAATAAGAAAATATACTTCGATTAAAAAACAAGGAGGTGGGCAAATACAGGTAAGGTCTTGACTGAGCGCAACCTGAGCATTAACTGTCAGGTGCTGAACTGACGTAAAAATCACACATAAATCAACTTTAACAATGGATTTCAATAAAGTCTCACTAAATACCGAACCTTAACGCACGTATGTTAACCTAAACTACCTTAACCTAACCTAATCCGGGTACAGTAGACGTGAATTAACTTTGTCTATTCCAGGGACGTCAACATTCCAGGATACCGTAAGCATGTTCCTACCAACTTAACAACAGTACTGACAGAGATTCCAGAGACAATACCATACATACGGTCACTCCGCTGTCATCTGTTTATCACTAGATTTTAATACCTGAACTATAATAAGAGATAGGAGGTATTGTGGACACGTTCGGATTTCATTTATGTTTTCTTAATCCTATGATAAGGGGGATTTAGCCCTCTGAGTATAATATAGCATTTGAGGTCATCATATTCAAAGGGTTAAGTCATCGTTCTCAAGGGGTTAAGTCATCGTTCTCAAGGGGTTAAGTCATCGTCCTCAGGGTTAAGTCATCGTCCTCGAGTGGTTAAGTCGTCGTTCTCAAGGGTTAAGTCATCGTCCTCAAGGGGTTAAGTCATCGTTCTCAAGGGGTTAAGTCATCGTACATAAAGGGTTAAATCATCGTACTCAAGGGGTTAAATCATCTTACATAAAGGGTTAAATCATCGTCCTCAAGTTCTTAAGTCATCGTCCTCAGGGGGTTAAATCATTGTACTCAAGGGGTTAAGTCATCGTCCTCAAGGTGTTAAGTCATTGTACGTAAAGGGTTAAGTCATCGTACTCAAGTTCTTAAGTCATCGTCCTCAAGGGGCTAAATCATCGTACATAAAGGGTTAAATCATAGTACTCAAGGGGTTAAAATATCTTAATCAATGGACTATTTTACTGTACTCTACATTTTCATCATCCATGAAAGAGTTAACACTACTAATAAAATCCCATAAGGTTTCAACACCATATTACACCTGGATAACTATCAACGTGTACATCTCTTTTACCTGCTGTTTTTTTTTGTTACCTGTTGTTAATTACGTATAGAAAGTTAAGAATACCTGCAGTGGAAATATAACACCACGTAAACAAGTGCTAAAGGCTACTGTGAGAGCGTTGTTATGATACTGAATATGACCACAATGACGGAAGTATATCAGGGAGGAGGAAGAAGGTGGGTGAAGGTGGTGTTTATCCGTACCACCTTCTGTTCCGTGTGGTGTGTGTGTGTGTGTGTGTGTGTGTGTGTGTGTGTGTGTGTGTGTGTGTGTGTTTCACCTTCAGGTTTTGAGATGTTCCCTGGTATTTAAGTTAATTACTTAAGGAGAACTTTCTTGTTTTAAGACGTCTTTCTCCTGCAGCACCTTCAGGTTAGTGGGACGCAGTCTCCCCAGCCATAGTTTATAACTACTGCTGATGTCATGCTGCCCGTCTCTCAGAATACAAATAATTACACACACACTCAGCACTTACCGCTACGTAACTTATATTCACATAACACTCTAAAATTACATACCAATACGCTTACTTTACACTTCCATACATATACTTAAAAAAATACATAATTCATCATACTTACATACCTCAGGTTACACTTACACATATTCAAGACTTAACACACACACACACACACACACACACACACACACACACACACACTTTCCACACAGAAAACTAAATCATAATCGAGAAAAACACCCAACCATAACCCTGGTATCAAGTATCCCTTTAACTCCCCCAAAAAAAAAACGTTTTGTTACAACACATCCTGACTCCACAGCCAAGCTAAACGTTCCTGCATCACAGCTGTTCCCAGAGATAGAACGTTTGTTGACTATTTGCCACCCTACCGTAATTCAACCATTGATATATCAGTTAGAAGAGCATCTTTCAACCACTAGTGAGTAAATTGAGGTGATTGATGGATAACTAGGTGATCAATGACACAGACATAATCGTTTTAGAAAATTTTAAACTATGAGAGGATGGCTTGAGGTGACTGACGTGTTGTTAAAGAGAGATGTCACGGTAGTAGTTTGATGTATGTTGATGATGATGATGATGATGAGGATGATTCTGATGATGCGGGCGTGGATAATTGAGCTTTGCGGTTAATTGCTTTGATTGATTGATTTTATATAATGAAGTGTTTGCTGTGCTTGTTTATATAAGTGACTGAAGTGATCCTTGAATTAATTAGGTAACTGGTTGATTGGTTGCTTGAGTTGTTTAGTTGATTGTTTAACTTAATAACTGATTGATTGGAACGTTTGATTGTTTCTTTTTTTATTATCAATTAATTCAATCGATTACTTTGATTATTTTATTGCACCGACTACTTTAATAGACTGGGTGATTGCTTAACTAACTGCATGGACTGAATTATATACTTGATTTGATTGATTGGTTGAAAAAAAAAGTTCTTTAGTGATTAATATTATTGAATTGAAAGGGATTGAAGTCGCTTAGGGATTGTTGTTTTTCTATTTGATATCTCTTTCGCAGCATTGTCTTCGCTTATCAATCTCCACTATCACGTTACTACTAAATTTATCTCTTGTTGTGGAAGATAATTAACTCTTCTCTTTGTATCTTCTTCCTCTTCAATTAATTATTTCCTTTTTCTTCTTCAATGGCTCATCTTTCTCCTCTTCATCAGAGATATCTCATTTTCTCTTTCGATCTAAATCACTCTCCTCTTCAATGGGAAATATCTCACATTTTCACTGAGACAATTTCTTCCTTCACCGAGTCACGTTTCTCTTTGTTTTCACCGAGACAATATGGCGTCTTCCCAACTTGTCTTCAGCTCAGACAATTATATCTCTATTAACACAGTCCACATTCTTCACCGAAACACCCGCTTCATCCTCGTTACTGACACACGTATTTTTCAGAGAGATTATACAAACAAGAAGTGGATATCAATCTAGGCATTAAGAGACGCGAGACAAGTAAGTTATCCCTTATACCACACCTGTTGCCTGAGTCCTCGACGCTTCTTGGAGGAGGGCAGGAGGTCGATGGTGCTGCGGAAGGAGTATGAAGGAGTGCTGCTGGGTGAGAGGGTTTTCCCGCCCAGGTCCCTCCCCTTCTTCCTGTTGTCGGTGACGACCTTGACGGAGCCCCTGGAGGTGTTGTTCTCACTCCTGCTGTGTCGCCAGTCCCCAGTGTCCCCCATTATCTCCTCCAGGGAGTTTTTGGAGGCGACGCCCGTGGAGCCCTTTCTAGAGGTCCTCCTCGTCTCTCCATCAGGTCGTCCATGTAGAGAGCGTTCTTGGAGCTACTCCTTGAGGTGCCAGGGAGTTTATGTAGGGAAAACTCCACCTCGTTGAGAGAGTCGTGGCTCATCTCATCCTCAGACGTCTGTGAGGGTCTCGTGAAGTCCACCACGATCTCCGACTCAGACCTCGGCAGCGTGGCGGACAACCCGCAACTGGTCGGCATCTCCAGTTCCGCCAACAAGGACCGGATTCCTTCCGTGGTCGAAGCCACCGTTAATGTAAGACGGTGATTTGGATTCAGATTTGAGCCACAACAGAGGTAATTACCATAATGAAGCCACAAGGAAGCCACGGCGACCGCGGGTTGGTGGAGAAGGAACCAGCCGGCTGGGTGGAGCTATAAACTGCTGTGGCGACTCAGCTCGCTACTTACTGTCGAGTCGCGCTCACCAGCTGGACGCCCACCCCCAACACACACACGCGCGCGCACGTACGTACACACTAACGGCCTCTAGGTGTTTCTTCTCTAGCGGGGAACCACACGCGCTAGCCAGCACCCATGTGGACGCAGCGGCAGTAGCCTGACACCACACACACACACACACACACACACACACACACACACACACACACACACCCGTCGCGGATTTTTCATTGCGCTGATGGCGGTGATCGACCTTAGCTGGGGCGAGGCGCATACACACATTACCTCGGTCACCCTGACATACTCTGAGTGTGTGTGTGTGTGTGTTGAGCCACCCTCTATGCACATACATATACATACACACTCACACAACATCCACAGTCACACACACACACACACACACACACACACACACACTACTACTACTATTACAGGTAAGAGACTCATTAGGTTCATGCAGAAGGCAGACCGTCACCTCTGTGGTAGCATCACACCAGACCTACCAACACCTAACCTCCTTCACAGTCATAACACATAACTGTATTTTTGTGTCCGTTTAGTCACACCATCGTATAAGTTTCCTGACCTGACTGATTTATATTTTACACCAGAAGACTATCACATAAAAAGACATCAGCTTCATCAACAATAACTAGCTAGTTCAGTGTAGTCATTCCGATAGATAATATCCCAAATGTCATTACTGCGATTGATTGTATGGAGAATGTGGCTGTCTTTAGAGAGAGAGAGAGAGAAGAGACAGACAGAGAGAGAGAGAGAGTAATTATCTGTCGCTCTCTCCACTTGTCTTGCATTACTCTTACTGTTATCCCTTCCCTTCTACTGTGAGGTCTCTCTTCCCACTGATGTACTCTATGTAAAAAAAATGATTGTATCCTTTAATCTGTGTGTGTGTGTGTGTGTAAAAAAACATTAATTAATCTCTTCTCCACCTTCGCCTCCTCCTAACCTAACGTATTAACCTTCATTACCGTTTTAGATGTATAACATAACCTAACCTAACCAAACCTCACTGCATCACATGAACCAACCCCATCCACCTTATTTCACCTAAAGATTAACCACGCTAAAATAACATAATCTAACCTAACCAATACACAAAATCAACTGACGATTCGTTAATGCTTGTAAAAATCGCAATTATTGTTGAATCAATTTGTATATCGTTATCTAACCATTCTATGTCGTTAATGAGGTTGTTAGTAAACGGAATCCCCTTCTCTCAACGACTCTCCAGGTAACTGGATGCACTGTACAGACCTCGCTAATGAGAGACACAGGTAACGAAGCGCTAATGACCTAACAGGTAACAATGGCCAGTCCTCAACAAATAATATTAATTTTCATTACTTTAACTTTAATTCCAAATGAAATTCTTATAAATGATGCATTAGCAATGATGGACATGTATGTATGTATGTATGTATGTATGTATGTATGTATGTATGTATGTATGTATATATGTATGTATGCATGTAGTATGTATTTATGTTCAGTATGTATGTGACTGCGTTACTACGTGTTCTGACTAGCGGGGGTGAGTGACTGGCCGAACCAATAGTAACGGAGCTCCCTGACCCAGTGCTTACTAACGGGGTTGTAGTGGCCGAGTGAGGCCTAGTGATGGTCCTTCTATTGAGGGTAGGTGAGGGGAATATGGGAACGAGAGCAAGAGGGGAATGGTATGAGGAGGAAGAGAGAGAGGAGGGGGAAGAGAGGTGAAGGAGGGTTGACAGAACCGGGTGGATGAGGGGAAAAGTGTGTGTGTGTGTGTGTGTATGTGTGTGTGTGTGTGTACATATGTTGTCATGCCAGCGCATACAAGTAGTCGTGTATACATGACAATTTCTACATACACACCAATTAACACAATATACTAGATATACAAAAACAACAACAGCAATAATAATAATAATAATAATAATAATAATAATAATAATAATAATAATAATAATAATAATAATAATAATAATAATATCAATAATAAAAAACTCAATAAATATAAATAGAAAAACGAACAAACAAATAAAAACGAAAACACAAACAAATAAATAAAAAATAAAAAATAAATCTTGCCAAGTATTATCAGACAGTGTTGCCAAGTCACCTCCCTCATCACGGTTAGACAGTGGTGCCAACTCAAACCTGACAGCCCGCCCACTCATGTCTCAAACCATCCAATCTGGGAACAGTTTTTTCTCTCTGTGGCGTGAGAGGAAAATTGGTCTAGCGTGGGATGCCGAGGCTCTGTTGTGCCATATTTTCAAAAGTTCTTTTTTGGGGTACTTTTGTTTTTTTTGGGGGGGGGGGGAGTGAGTGAACAAGTTAACAAAATCCCGAACGAAAAAAGAAAAGGAAAATAAATATTTCATCCGGCAATATTTATTTAATTTTTCAATCTATCCTTCACCTAACCACTAGAGTCATCGCTCGTTCCTATTCTCTCC